TTTTTACATTTCAGTAAGAAATATTTAATTTTAATAGTAATAATGTTTATTTTTATAAAAAATAAAACAAATTTTTTAAAATTTATTTTCTCTTACATTACAGATCAAGAATCACCAAGACTTATTAAAATTGGTATATTTCAATAAATCAAAATTATTTTCATTTATTTTAATTTGAGGAATCAAATAAAGTGACATATCATTATATAATTGATGAATATCCACTTCTTTCCTAATCATCGGAATAAATAAAATGTTACTTATTAAAGTGACTACTCATTTGCATATAAGACTTTATAATGTATTATTTTAAAAGATGATTTTGCCCATGCTCCAAGAATACATACAGCCTATGTGGTTAATTTTGATGATGAAAAATTGGGCATTTCGGTATATTGGAAATCTAATCATCTCCTCAAAGAAAATTATAAAGGTTATTTCATTCAACTGTTGCCTACGCACCCAGACTTATATTTACCTAGACATGAACTTTTAAAAGATGTAAGTAACACAAGTGATCTCATTCGACTGTTGCCTATGCATCCAAACTTATATTTCCCTACAAATGAATTTTTAAAAGATGTAAGTAACAAAATATACTATATTTATAATAAGATAGATTTGAGCCTAAATATTCATGATTAGCTGGGATAAATGTAGCTGAACTTTATTAATTTTTTAATTTTGTTTTATTATAATATTAGATAGCCTCGTAATTTTATTCTTATATACAAATAAAATCATTGTTTTTGAGTAGCGTCTGTGGCTAATGTGAGTGCATATATCCTCTATCGTATAGATCTGACTTCGAATCCAGCAAGGATCAAATTTTTTTCTGAAGCTAACTAGGTGATTATATTAAAATAAAAGTGGGTCTCTTACTTCATTTTAATAAAAATTGGTCTTTAATTGTCTAATTGCTCTACGATGATCAATCATATTGATCATTACCCTGACTAGTTAGAAAATGTAACAAACAGCATGTATATAATTTTATACCCTCAAATTACAAAATATGGCACACTGTTTTATAATCTTCAAACTTGGTCGTAAATACTTAGTTTCCATAATACATAGTATATTTTTTTAAATACTCTTCATAAAATTTTTTAATTTTTATTATGAATTTTTATTTTATTAGCTGACAACTACCTATTACATTTTTCGTAATGTGATACCGAAAAGAGAATACAGAATAACGTTGTCCGTTTTATCAAATATTGAAGAAACAACTTATGAAGAGATCATCTTCAATGCTCACAATGTCTTCATAAATACTTCCTGAATGTTAAGCTATTATAATAATATTTTATGTTATAAATTAAAATGGGTTATTTTTTTTGTAGTATATATTTATTATCGTATAATATGAGGTGTATTTTTATTACTTTACAATTTATTAATCAATTATCATTTATATTAGTTTATTTTAAAAATAGTTATATATAATATTATTTATATAAAAATCTTTTTCGCCATTTATCAATTGACTCACAATTAAGAGATAAAATTTATTTAAAATAAGTTAGAGAAATGGGATTCGATTGAAATAATTAATAACATCCAAATATTTAAATCATAATTTGCATCATTATTTACAATAGCTATATTCCCTCTTTACATATTATATAACAAAATATTAGAAATTATTCCAAATCATAAATAAAGGGAAAATATACATATAAAATGTAAAAATGGTTATAAATTAAAATTAAAAACGTTTCAGGAAATTTCTAAATAAAAAAATAAATAAAAAAGCAATAAGAATATTTTTTTATTATTAGTTTGGAATCCTCACGGACATTATAATCTACCAATTTATTATTGTAAATTTTTCCCATGCATCTTAAAGGCTAATGTCAACTATCACATAGTCAACATATAGCAATTGTTAAAAAAAAACGACCAATTTTTTTCATAATGTAGTAAGGCTCATTTACTTTTTAATATATATTAACAGAATTACGTGACCGAGTCCGATCTAATATATACACTCCCTCCCCTAGGAAGGGCCACCTAGTTGTCTTCAGAAAAGCATGATTTATATTGGATTTAACCTCAGAACTATATATGATTGAGTTACGCGCACTTATCTGAATAGGTCACAGACGCCCTCGGAAAATGACTATTTTTTAAATATATTATAATATTGACTTCCGGTAAAAAATTTGAAGTGATAGAACGGTAAATATTATTTTATTTTAATCATATTTATTTACAGATTCTATGAACATTATATCTCAATATTGATAGCAATTATAACTTACACTAAAGAAATTAAGCTTAAAATCAGCCATCACCCACCTTTAAAGTAATTAAATTATACTGTAGTTCTCGGGTATAGGCTTTTTCTTTGTCCCACTCCTTTTAAATTAAAGCCTATAGAGGTTTAAGCAACATTTTTCGAAATGTTGTGCCTGCAAGTACGTGCGGCTTGCCCACAAACGTGTAGAGGGCTCCTCATATTTTTACTTTTATACCCAAATTAAATTGTTCCAATTAGATGGAAATGAGGAAAACCTAGCGTAGCTCTTTTGTGTATTCAACGTTAGAGGGCGATGCTCTATATATCACGTATTACTTGTATTACTTTTTATGAATTCAAATTTATCTTTTCAATTCAACTTTTTATTTTTGTAATTCAACTTATTTTACTTATTATTTTTCGTAACCTTACTTTTTGTTTTTATGTATATTCTAATTTATATTTTAGAAAATGTATATATACCTTAAGAAAAGAAAAAGAAGTTAGTTAATAAAATATATTTTTACTGACTCGCACCTCGCGCCATATCGTTAAGATCCTTATTCTTTTCGATATATTAAAAAAACATTGTTTATCTCGATTGTATCACATTTTGTTTGATTAAATATCGCATCATGAGATATTTAACATTAACCTATCTAATACATACTCTATATGAAAAGTAAATTAGCTTTGGATTCAGGGTTATATTAAAACAAACAATAAATATTTGTATAAATACAAATAATAGAAAATCAAATTTTGTGAATTTTCTTTTTATTTACTATCGAGTACTTGGTCATGATTTTAGATGCTAGAGTGATATACTATGGATATTTCCTATGAGAGACTCTTTTAATAGCATGTAAGGTTTACATTTCGCTATTTACGTTTGGAAAACAAGTTCTTTAAGTTTTTTCTAGTATAATTTAATTCTTTTAAAAAAAGTATAATGTGGTAACCAAGTATTTGGAAGAGCTGAGAATTTTATATAAAATTGAAAAATAAATATGTTATTAGTCCATTAAAATTTTTTTATATTAACCCTACCCCGCATCTTTTTAACTTCCTATCTCCTTAATCTACCGGTTCGAGAGTAGATTGGTTTTAGAAGAAAAATTATTCAATACTTTCCCATCGTTTAAATCACCGCTTAGAATTAGTGGTATTCAATGCAATAAGAATTGTTACAAGCGTTAATCACTTTAAAACCTTTAGGCACAATATATAGTTTATATAGTCAGTCTAACAAAAATAAAAAGGCATTATATCAAATAACGTCTGACTAAAAATTGAATGAGTATTTGATGTAAGATGGGCGTATATCAGCTTTTATATTGCGGTAGGTTGGAATTAAAAAAATTTAGCAATTTTAGCAATAGTTAATCTAACGGGCTGTCCACCATATATGAAAGTGGTGAGTTCTTATCAGATCTCGCCTTGATTTGATGTATGATGTAGGGATTTGCAAATCACAGCCCGGCCGGCACCCGGCCTGAGCCCGAGTCCTGCTGGAACAAGTTTCAGATCAGGTCGGGTCTGTTAAAAAATAATCTTGGTTTGGGCTGGGTATGGCCTAATATTTAAAAAAAAATTGAGCCGAGCCGGGTTGGGATTAATTTTTTAAATATGACATCTTTACATTTTGTCAAATGATTGATATATTTTAAAAATCTGGTGCTAATATTTTTTATTTATAGAATTCTTTTTTTTTACAATCAAAAAAAAAATTAAATTTTTGTATATTTAAATAAATTCGGGCCGGGCCGAGCTGACAAATAATTTTTATTTCGGATCCGGTTAGGTACAAATTTAAAAAATTATTAGGGGGCACGATAAATTTTTTTAAAATTATATCGATCACTAGTATGATGTACTATTTGAATTATCCGATTAGTCTTTGAGGCATCTGACAAGAATAATCAATTTAAAATATTCCTTCTGGTTATATTTTTAATTAACACTAACCATATAATATTTATCTATGAAAGACTTATAATTATCTGAAAATCTCTGTAATTCGTATTTATGTCAAATTTGTGGCCATTTTCCTTAATTAGACTATCTATTAATTTCACAGAGTTTAAAAAGAGTTCCGGCTTCTTATAACTATTTTACAGATATCTTCCTATTTTTATTTAAAAATTACTGCACAGTTTGGAGACTGCCCATGTCTATTCCTTGAGTTGGAACACAATTTACACTTACAAAATATAGACTTTGTACCCTTCATTTTATTTAATGGTGTAAAAATGTTTCATATTCAGACAGGGCAGGATTGAATCATCTTCAATTGAAGAAATATGTATAATTGACACTCGATTGAAAATTTACCGCACAAATTTTGGTAGTTGATGTGAAATAAAAACTCGCCTTAAATTATTTATAAAACTTAAAAAATAAATAAAAGTTATTTTGATACAATAAAATATGATTTTTCCCTAACTTTCATGAAAAAATTTAAAATATCGGGTAACGTTTTTTCGTTACCGTTACTTAAAAAATAAAATGATGCGTTAGTCGTTATTTGTAACCTCTAGAAGAAAGTTATAAATGGTATCCCTTTTCTTCAAAAAGATAACACCTTTAGTAACGATGTTACTTTATTTTAAATGTTATATTGTGGCTTTATTTTTGTGCTATTCAGGTATAGAAATAAAATGATATCGTAATTTATGAAATTTATTTTTAGTATATTACACCAATAATTTTAAAATTTCAAATGAATATTGTATATTAGAATATAATGCATTACACTAAATATTCCTCATCGACATATTATGCACACCATAGCGGTTTTAAAAGATAGAATCTGTGAAACATACTTCTTATCAGCCTTATCACCATAATCTCCGAAAATGAAAATTTCCAATCATAAATTAGAAATCAGCATCTGAGGTCTAGTCATGCTCACTTTCCTACCTCCACTATAAACAAATAATCCTCCAAAATAACTATAGTTAATTTTTTTATTAATTATTCATATCTATGTATTTTTAAAAAAAATTTTCCTTCGGGTTATTGACGGCATTGTTGGCTAGGTACTTTATTTTTTTTCTCTTCTTTTATCATTTATATTTAGTTATTATTAGGTTTATATCCAATATTTTTCAATAATGCATAAATTCATTTATATTTTATATAATCTTTTTGTTTTTAAAAGAATCAATTAACCGCATGGAAATGGAAATCGTATAGAATTGATTGCACAAATAATACCTTTATTTCTAAATTTTATATCAGCAAATCTTTAATTTGATCTTTTATAGTTCTTAAAATGGTTCAGTCAATTAAATTTTTCCTTTATGTGATCCTAGTATTCTCAGCCATAATAGGTAAAAATCATTAAATAAAATAATATAAACATATTAAAAAATAATATCTATTTCAAATTATATAGGAATTCGACCTGCTGTAGATGTTAGCATGAATGAAACAAGAAAAACTTCTATGTGCCCTCCAGGGGTCTTTGTATTCCAGTGTTACTTATCTCCATGTTATAATAAAAACTGTACAAATTATCCTTTGGCAAAGTGTTTTCCTAACTATTGCGGAGGGTGCAGGCACGATTTTTATCTTGATGGGAGAAAAGTTATGTGTTAAAACAATCAATAATTTCGTAATCAGAATAACGAATTAATTATATATTTAATTATTAAAAATATGCAACGATCATTATGCGAAAAAAGTTAACATTATAATATCGTATTATTTTTGTATTATTGAATTATTTCAATATAATATAAATAAAATGATATAAAAATTTATGAGATTTATCATAAGCACATTTTACAAACAATTTGAAATTTCAAATATACATATCGCCTTGCACTTAATATCTCTCCAGCAATATTATGCATATCATAGGTGATTTTAGGGTGAGAAGGATCAAAATATATATTTCTTATCAGACTTATTGACGATGGCATTCATTCTACGACAATGATCGGAAAAAAGAAATAGAATACAACTAATTTGAGGCCTACATAACACAATTTCAGGTCTACTCATAACACGCTTTTCCAACATGCTTTTAATATATATCGGAACCTGGTTACATATAACAATATACAACCAAAACCCCAGCTATACCACATCAAATAAAATTAGGAGAAATAGTGCAATGGTGTAGTAGATATCCTTGATTCGTAAAATATATAGAACCTTAGGTCATTTCCAGACAGAACATTTTTTCAAAGCGGTTTTTGGGTATTGTTAACAACAATCAATTTTTTATTTCCAATAAAAATATATATGTAGAATTATTTTTTTTAAATGTAATATAATATTTTAAAAATAAAAACAATCCAGATCCCCATTTTTTTAATCGTAAATAGAAAACAAACTGTTGATTCTAAAAAGGATTAAATGGCGTTTTGAAATGTGGCTCCGGATTGTTTTTTAAATATTATATTATATAAAAAAATTAATAAGACAAGTTAGTATCCTTTGTTTGGAAATAAAAAAAAATTGCTGGTAAAATTACCCAAAAACCGCTTTGAAAAAACATTTTGGAAATAGCCTTAGTTCAAATGTCTAATTATCTGATTTTACTCTTCCGAGTTAGTTTCTACAACAGACGGGTTTCAATTCACGAGCACTTCTACCCTTTATTTAAAAACAAAATTCAACATTCCCCTCCGTGCACGTTCTTACACAAAAAATTGTCTAATTAATTAGTTTTAAAAATCCTTTTTTATATCTTAATTTATTTTGGATATATATTTTTTTAGAAACTTGCAAAATATGCAAAATTTTGTAATAAACAATTAATTTTTAATATATATGTTAGTAAGCTCTAACATAACCCGTAATAATTATAAAAACTAATTTGTCGGTCCTTAAATTGTTTAATTTTCAAAAGCCAAGCGGGCAGGTTTAAACTCGTCCATTGCAAACCAAGGTGGAATAAGTCTCTTAAGTGTACATATGATGGTGTTATGTTTGACCCTATATTTTTAATTAAATTTCGTAAAGTTAGTTTGTTAAGTTATGCCTAAAATATTTACCTTTATTAAATAAGATTTCATCTTATTAACATATTTATTTTAAAATTTGATCCAAAAATAATCAAATATATATAAGAATTATTATATTACAGGTAATCAGAAATCATTAAAAATATCGTCAAAAATCTAAAAATTTTAATTACTGAATGAAAACCTATTTTAACACCAAATCTTTCTTTTATAATTTGATAAGATTTTAGTCATTCTAACCAAGAAATTTTATAAAACAAAAAATTAACATATGAATAAAATGCGGAGTAGAACATTCTACACTTTGAATAGTAAAATTTTAGTACTTTAAATGTCAAAATTAAAAAAAAATTTATTTAAAAATATGAAGGTTGGTTCTTGTGTACAAGGAACGAACTAAGAAATATCCAAAGCAAGATTGATGGGAGATGGTTTTAAAAGTATTTCATTTCTATAAGAGAATGGTATTTATCATAAGCTGGCAATAATATTTTCGCAAATATATTAACCATGAATCAAAAATTGTAAAATTTTGATTGGACTTAATGATATTAAGATCATTATTATCATTTCTCTGTCAAATTTAAGAAATAATTCGTATTTTTCCTCATTTGAAGCAAATAAATTTTGCAATTTATATAATATAAAAATAACAAAAATACTTTCTACCATTTTGAATGATTTTATTCAAATATATGATATCGTTTCTCCTAATTATTCTGATCAAACAGAAACTTTTTATATGTGCAAGCTTTTTTATCCAATTTTGATTTTGAATATTATGATAAATGAATTAAAAAAGAGATTTTGTCAAGAAAACGCAAAAATTTTAATGATATTCCTATGATATTCAACTATAAATGAATGTGCAACAATGACTAACAGGCGTAGTGAACTTATTTTATCAAATAGTTTAACCTTATAATTTATATTTTATCCAATTTTAGGCGTTAATGTCTGTTAGTGAATATATCGGATATTTATTCTATATTATCATTATCCAAAATAGTTAAATATATTATACTTATAAAAAAATTTCTCTTTGAGATTGGTAAAAATCAGAAACCAACAGTAAATGCTTCCTTATGATATGACCTAATAGGTTTTAGCAAAAGATTAATTAGAAATATTACATTGACAATAATGTATAAAATCTTAATTGCTTTTATCATATCACTCTGGTCCTTATTTTCTAGTTACTAAATGATTCGTTTCTAATGTGGTGGCATCCTCGTGTAAATAACACAAGGCCTCAATATTTTTGCATAATTATTTCTTCTAAAATTTTTAGTGTTATTATGTATGCTGTTTATCGATGAGTTAATAATAGGATAATAGCCCTTAGATTGCCTATAACGAATTTATTTTAAATAATATAGTTGTGATTACTTTCAAAAATGAGCTGTTAAACAGTGAGAAAAAAAAATAGTTTAGAGCAATCAAAAGATTTATTGATGTCTAAATAATTGATTGAGATAATTTATTTCTGCTTATTTAAACTAAAGAAGAGAAAAGGACTAAACATTTTACGTAGAAAATAGATAATAATATGAACAGTAAAGGGGATGAGAAAATATACATCTTTTCGACATTCCATTTAATTTATCAATAAATACCTATCTCTTATTACATATAATGGCGATAATAGGATTCTAGAGGAGTTATTGTGAAGGTTTAAGAGGAGGGTTTAGCTATGCATATATTGGTAATAATTTGTTTTAAATTGGTTAAAGAAAATCTAGAAAATATGCTGGAGAAACATCTTGTCAGTTAAGAGAATTATTTAATAGATAATCTTGTTACAATATATGGAATTTGATTGGTAGTATAATGCAAATAGTAAAAAAAATTAATGGTTCTCGGAAAAAGTAAATCTAGTAAATATTTTATAGAAATAAAAAAAAATTTGTTTTGCCTAAAATTATATTTTAATACCTTACTAATGCTAATCATTTGGCATAAAATTTTCCTTAGTTTCCTCTATATTTTTTTTTCTTCTGCGGACATTGAAATATGGTGCAATTTTTTTAAAAAAATAAATATTTTAAAATTATGGTATATTTATTCAGATATAAAAATAAAACTCGCTTGTTTTTCCAGATTATAACTATTAAAATTTAATTTCATAGCTAAAATATAACTTAACGAATTCTTCTTCTTTAGCTCAAATTTATATTTGAAGATAATCATAATTTATAAATAACACTAACTAATTTCATTATTCTTCACAATATTGAAATCGAATTCATCATTCATATTTGAAGAATACGCATAACTAGGGCTCTGAGACCAACAACACCAAAAAATTTTGCTTTTCATTTCTAAAAAACGTGATTTTTTTTGTTTGATTTCAATGCGTTTTTTAATATTTAATTTAAAAATAAACCCCCCTACTTTCTAAAAAAAAATAGCTGCAAAATATCCATTTTGCGTTTTTTTAAACAAAATTAGTTGTTTTTTTTTATAAAAATATGGCGTTTATAATTTTGTTTTTTTTTGTGGAATCCTAATTTTTTTTTTCTGTTGGAACTAATGGGATTTTTTTTTAAAAATATTTCTAAGGGTTTGTTGATAATATAATATTCTTTATATAAAAAGCACAAAATTTATTTGTTGCGAAACGTGACCTAATATAATTATGAAACTAGCATGAAACTTTTCTCCCATTTAAATAATAATCGTATTTGCATCCCCCGCAATAGTTTTCAATACAAATTGCTGAAGGATTATTTAAACAGATTTTGTCTGGACATGGAGAAATGTAACACTTAAATTCTGCCACCCCTGGCGGGCAAATAGATCTTCTACTTCTTGTTTCACCATATCTATTGTCAGCTGATTGAATTCCTTTATATATGGAATAGTTTTGTTTATAAGCTATTTTTGAAAAGTGCATTTTCCAAAATTAACTTGCAACCAGTTTATATTTTTAAAAAGTAACTAGTTAAATTGCAAGTTACTTTTTGAATTATTTAAAAAAACTCATCAATTTAATTATTTTATTAAATTCTTCTAAATATTTATTTTTAAAAAAAATCAGTGCCTTATTATAGAAAAGGTGAGCTAGATTTTTTTTGCTCAAAAAATAAGTTTCCTTTGACTTTAAAAAAAACGTTCTATAAAAGAGTGATGTAAAAGACAAATTATATTTTATAAACATAAATTTTAAATTTGGGAAATCATCATATTTAATATATTCTTAAAAGTAACTTAGTAAATATTTTTACCTTTCATGGCTAATATTAGGATTAAAAGTAGGAAGCATTTATACTTAATATAAAGACACATTTGAGAAAAATATTTTTAAAGGAATTTATGAATTTTAAAGTTAAAATTTATAAAAGGTTATAATTATGATAAGATATTATATTAATGTTCAAGGTTATATTAATCATTTTTTTTAAATTACTATTTAAAGTTATGTGTTTTTTTATTGTACAAATCTCTTTGTTTTAAAAGATGGAACGGAATGAAATGGATTATTTAAATAGAAATATAAGTGAACAATCAGGAATAATAAATCTCGTGATATTACAACCAGAATAAGGGATTTTAAGTCGAGATAACTATCTTTTCAGGATTATTACCAAAAAGTAACCTTGGTGTTTATTTATATTACTTATTTTTTATAAAACATAGTATAAAAATTTAAGGAACAGCATTTATACAACAAATCTAAAGATTCTAAGAACTAATATAGTATGATTTAAAGCAACATATGCATAGCCAGGATTTTGCTAGGGGGTAGGTAAAGTACTATTAGATGGGGGCTTCCTCAAAAAATTTATTGGAGGTCTTTAGGTCTATTTTTGTTGAAGGCTTGTGGCTAATTTTGGTGTTTCACTTTTTTTGATGTAAAAATGCTTTTTTCTAAAAAAGTTATTATTTTTACAAATTTTTCTTCCAAATTCTTTTTTGTAATAATATATATCTTTTTAGGGGAGAAAGGTGAGGGAAGGTGTGTGAAGATATTTTATTAGCTCAAAATGTGATATTTATGAGAATAGACAAATTTCTGAAGGAAGGTTTTCCATGCTTCCCCTTTCCGACTACCCCTATGTCAGCATTTAAAAAGTGACTGGATGACACTGAATTTTTATGATATCTTATAAATCTCAGAAGGCCTTCATTTTCCATAAAAATAATCTAAGGATCAAACAAATCATACCATAAAACAGCTTAAAAATTTTAATTATCTGAATGTTATAACATAATATCGATACAACTTCTTTATATGGCGATAAAATTTTACCTTTGTCTAGGATATCCCAATTTTAATTTAACATTATTACTCTGATTAAAAGTGATCAACATTTCAGATTAAATAAGGATATTCATATCTATTGCGTATTAATGTCTATTAATTAGTTATAACATTCTTTTTAGAAATCAATCATTCTAAACAATAAAAGTGGAAATAGCAATATAGAATTACTTCCAATTTATACTCCTATATTGTAAATACTAAATACCACGTTAAAAAAAAGAAAAAGCCCTTCTTAGTTACCTTCTGAAAACTTAAATTCATTGGAAGTTTCAGACTACCCCCGCAACGCTCAATTTAAATTTAATATAAAAAGGAATGCTTATTGATAGCTTTATTTAGATTGGAGATATTTACATTGTATGAAAATTTTATATCAGTTCTTCAAATATAGATTTCGCGGTTGAAAAGAAAAGTAATCGGAAAGAGTTAAAGGACAACAGTCTAAATAAATGAGGGGTATTAATCTAATTACTCTTACAGTAGATAGCAATGGACAACCACAATGAATGAAACCAAAAATGGAAATAATGATGACTGTTATTTTTTTTAAAACTAAATTTAATAACTATATTTTGTTTTGCAATATTCTTATTTATAATGTTTATTGTTTATTTTCCTAGAAATTCCTTTTCCTGGAAGTTTATTTTTCTAGTGGGTTATATTCTCTTAGACCCTTTTTTTATAGGAGTTTTTTTCCTTAATTTCCCCCCCCCCCCATAAGTTACTTTTCTGATCACTATAATATTCATTTACTAAAATAAAGGATTCGCTGTGAGGTCTATAAAATTCATATTATATACATTTATTTAATATGCCAACAATATCATAAATTTGTATATGAGACTCTTTTTTTCTTAATAAAATGATTAAAACAATAAAGATGATGTAAAATAGATAAATATTGTGCATTTAGAGATTAAGGTAATTATGATTAGTTTGAAAAGAAAATTCATAATATCGTTAAATAATTATTTCATATTTTTAATTTTGTTTAAAATATATATTTTACCAATAAAACTCTAGTATTTTAAAATCATAACATTTTTATTTTCTTTTTTATAAGTTGGCAATATTTGATTCGTTAGTTGCATTTAATCTTTCTTCCGTTGAAATAATAATCGTAATAGCAACCCCCACAATAATTAGGAACACAATTTGCCAGAGGATAACTTCGGCACTTAGTGCCTAAACAGGGAGACATCCTACAATTGACTTTTTTAATCCCTGGCGGGCACATGATAGATCTCTTAATTCTTGATTCATGCCTATGAGCACCAAATTGATACCCTATACAGAGTTTATAATTGAACATAACAAAATATTAATTTTTACCTTTTATGGTTTGTAATACTAGAATCAAAAGCAGGAAGGATTTGATTATATAACGCATTGAGTTATTTAAAAAAATTATATTAAAGATTTAAAAGTAAAATTTTGATAACTTGATACTATAAAAAAATGTTTATTAGATATAATCATTTTAATATTTATTATATAAAGTCATCCTATTATTTTTTTATTATAAAAATATATTTGTTTTATATCGGATTGGCAAGAAATGGCATCAAAATTTTTTTTGTTTCTATTTATTTTTTAAGATTAAAAGAGAATAATGAGTTGCAAATCTTGTGAGTTAAAAGGTACTATAAAGGAATTACAAGGAATTACATATCCCTTCTCATAAGATTTTAAAATGAGAATCGTATAGGCAATTGAAAGGAATGCATCCTATGATAACACCTTCCTACATATACAATTTCTAGCCTAAAATGAAAGTATATTAAAATGAAAGTAAATTAAAATGAAAGTAAATTAAAATGAAAGTAAATTAAAATGAAAGTAAATTAAAATGAAAGCAAGATAAATTGAAAGTAAATTAAAATGAAAGTAAAATAAAACTTAAAGCTTATATATAATTAAAATTGAACGTAAAGTAGAACGTAAAGTATATATATATTCTTTACCTTTTTCCTTTATGAAGTATTAATTATATATTTTTTTTGCCTCTTCACTAATTTATGAATCTTTTCTTCTACAATATTTCTTTATTCAACAATTTCCATAACAAAAATCCGTCATTGTATATACATAAAATTTTCCTCTTTTAAAACAAAAATAAAATAATGAATCTCCTTTTCTTGTGTTGCCACTGTATTTTTCTTTTTCCACAAAAAAATAAACAAAATACATGGCTAACAACAGGTTCGTAAATATATATATATATTAATTAAAATCATTTAAAATATAATGAATTTTTATCATTCTAATACAACACGTCCACCCTATTAAGGCTTCTTGTGTTTCCATTCATTTGTTGCCTCCATTTATCCTCCCACTTTAACGACAATGGATAATAATTAATGGATAATATCACATTTTTCATGATAAGTGTCTTAAAAGGAAGGTATGATACGTTTGCCATCAAATCTTTAAAAAATACAAAATAAATATATATCTCTTCCCCTTCCCAGCTCTATGTATAAACTATTGTACTCTAATTTTTGTTTGATCATGGTGACGAATACCCTCCATCCCATTTTCAAATTCTATACGATTTAATTTTTTTCCTAAATTTTCTAATACCATCCCTCTTTCCCATAATTTATCCTTATTATTATAACATCTAGCCCATACATTTGACCAATATGATATAATGTAATTTGATAAAACCTCTATATCACATCTTGGTTTCATAAGATCCAATAATACTTTCGCCCTTCTTCCCAAAAATCAGTTGGAGTAAAACCTCCTATCCTTTTATAATTATTAAGATTATTCTTCCACTTTATGGTCCCTATTAAACATAATCTTACCTGTCTTTTCCTTATCCCTTATACTATGTTTCCTGAGTTCATCCCACTTAGTAGACCCCCCCCCCCCTCCTTAATATGTGAGATAAATTACGAATTATGGTTTCATCTTCTTGCGAAGATTCTATATTATTTATTTTAAAACTTTCAGTGTTCAATCCCAATCTGGATAAAATATCAGGTAGATGATTTTCCCTACCTCTTCGATATTTAAGCTCCAAATTGAAACTACCTACCAATAATAACCACCTTTGAAGTCTAGGTGATAACATTAATTCTTTGTTATTTCTCTTAAACAAATGAATTAACGGCTTATGGTCGGTTTAGACTGTAAATCTTTTACCAATTAAATATTCCCTACATTAAGTTAGACCAAAAATTACCGCTAGTGGCTCTCGCTCAATCACTGAATATCGGGTTTCTGCATCATGAAAAACTCTTGAAAAAAATAGAATAGGTCTCTCCATATCATTTATTACATGTAATAAAGCCCCCCCCCCACCTCTATTAGATGCATCCACCGCCAATATTATGGGTAAATCATTATTAAAACAACTTAAAATTGGCTCTTCACTAATCTTTTGTTTCAATAATTCTTTATTCAACAATTTCCATAACAAAAATCCGTCATTGTTTATATATAAAATTTTCCTTTTTTAAAACAAAAATGAACCTCTTTTTCTTTTGTTGCCACTGTATTTTTCTTTTTTCACAAAAAAATAAACAAAATACATGGCTAACAACAGGTTCGTAAATATATATATATTAATTATAATCATTTAAAATATAATGAATTTTTATCATTCTATTACAACATAGCCCACTTCTATTAGTCACACCAGGGGCGGATTGAGAAACAAAGCGCCCGGTAAAATTGTTTATTAGGGGCCTCAAAACCCCATTTGTAAGTTTTACTCCTCATTTCCGCTCATGATTATGAGTTTATTAAGTATATAATCTTAATATACTAATTCATATATATTTATGCAAAAAGCCATTCATACAGAAAATTTAGTTACGGTTAGAGGTCTGACTCAAAGACTTGGGTCGGATTAGGACATAAAAAAAAATTTGGACTCGGTTAGGGCTAGATATGTCTGACCCGACCCAACCCGGAAAATAAATATTAGAATTACAAATAACCCTAAATAATACAAATATCTTTTGCTTCACAAATAGAATAACTGATATTTATATGTCTTTTTAATTGGTTTATTATTATATTTTTTAATTTTTTTTCTTTATTTAAACAATTATATCATCTTTTTTCGACATCAATCTTGCAAATTATTTTTATATAATCCCAATATTTTTAAATTCGATTGTTTTAATTTTACTTTTTATATTTAAACCGAATAAAATTTATATGTAAACAAATTAAATAAAATGCAACTTTATATCAATATTGATTAGATTATAGGGGATTTTCATTTAAGGCAGTATGTGAATAAATACAAATAATTTTTATTTGTTTCTTAGATAGATTTCCTTGCCCATTCTAAAATACATTACCCTTTTCTCAAAACTGAGTCATTAAAATGCCAAAAATATTCCTACCTGATGGGTGATAATCACTTTGTCTTAATCGTAGCTATATCATCCTGCTTTGGGCAAGCCGTTTTGAATCTTGTCAAAACATTTTCAAAATCCATAAGGGAAAAAACATATATCTCTCCTTTTTATAAACTTAAACAAAACAATGCCATCACAATAATCCGGCCCAATTATTTAAGGCTTAAAAATTCTTGGCCAGAATCATTCATTTAGCATTCTCCTTTTTAATTTTTTAATATATTCGTTCTTTTTTAAAATATTTTTCATGTTCTATTTTAATATATATTTATTTGTAAATTTTTAATAATTCTTTTAAATAAAAAATGATGATTATTATTTAAACTCAAATTATATAAAAAATTTGTCGGGCTCGGGTTGGGTTGAATCTAAAAATTTGTGCTCGGGCTCGGGTCAGGCTTGGGTCGTGAAATTATTACTTTGCAGACCTTTAGTTACGGTATTTATCTTTTCTTAATATTTCTTTTGTTCATTGAAATTAAGAGGTATACAATCTTAAATAAATTAAATACCTGTTAGATAAATAAAAATAACATTTAAATAAATAAAAATAACATTTAAATAAATAAAAATAACATTTAAATAAATAAAAATAACATTTAAATAAATAAAAATAACATTTAAATAAATAAAAATAACATTTAAATAAATAAAAATAACATTTAAATAAATAAAAATAACATTTAAATAAATAAAAATAACATTTAAATAAAAAAAATTATTTTTGCATCGGAATCGTATAGTAAAAAGAACATATAATTAACGCGAATATAGATAAAGATTATTTTAACAAATTTTAAACTAAAAAAAAAATCTAACCTTATGAATGGTGATAAAAAGGTATTTTTTTTATTTATTTTTTTACAGATGATGAGGCTTGTTTGTTAAATCATAATACTTATTCAAAAAAATCTGAGGGATAAATAAAAGACGAAGATATTTTATATTGTAAATTCTAAAGGAATATGTAATGATCTTAAACTAAAAAACAAGGATAAAATAGTATAATAAGTTACTATACAATATATGTAAAGATTTGAGTGGTCGTAATAGCAATTGTTATACCTAAAAAAAATCATTGTAGATTCAAATTTACAAAGTTTAGAATCTAAAAAGAAATAGTGGTATAAATAATGAGACAGCAAAGACGAAGAGGGAATTTGTTACTATCATAAAATGAGTAATGCTAGATTATTATCCCAAACCCAATCACTCCTGAACCTTTATAAAATTTCAAAACTTAAATTACGGTTAAAATGTATTTATAAATTTAAAAATAGTTAGACAGTTTTAATATAGCCTATAAATATTATGGGTAGTGTTGTTAAACGGCTCATTTTGAGACCATTTTTTAAAACGGCTAACTCAATATTTTAGCCAGAAAATTATTGCCTAAGCCTCGAGATTCCGCGAATAGATATTCAAACCTTTGTTCCTTCTACAAACAAAATCTTTAGGCTTTGCGCAATATCATTCTGGAAGAAATATTGAGTTAGCCGTTTTTAAAAAATGGCTCAAACAACACTAATTATGGGGTTTGAAAAATATATTCATTTAGAAGTTGTAAAAAATAATAATAGTCTCAAAAAACTCAAATATATGGATGCAATACTAAGTACAAACATATACAAGTCCGATTTAATAAAACGCCATTATGCACACATTTAGATTATAATTTATATCTACAAATTATTTAATCAAATTTAGTGCTCATTAATTCACAATCATTACTTATATAATTAAGAATAAAAAAATTAAATTTCCAACATATCAAGTTTAACTGACTTTATTAAAAGCGTCTCCAGATAGTCTTGATTAAGGCTTGCCCACATCCTATTTCTAATTATTTTTTAACTTAAAAAATATTATTTTACAATTAACTTAGGTAAAATAATTTGAGATTATATTTATATACAAATAATATAATAATTTTGGTAGATGCACTTGAGTATCGTCCTCGTTTCCACTAGACACGGTATCATTATATAAAAAGCCCACTATACTTCCAAGGTACCTTCTTTTCTTACATTTCCCGGTAAAAAAGTAAAATTTTATCGTGGCAGAGATCTGCAGAGTCCGGACGGGATACATGGGGCGGGCTGGAAATTTAAAAAAATAAACCCAGACCATGTAAAAGTAATATATTTTTTTAAAATACCTGGGCCGGGTTGAATAATTTTCCTATAGACATAGGCCGGGCCGCCGAGCCAAATATTTTAAATCGCAATTATTATATAAAATACAATGAATGTTACATAATTGATTAGTATATCACATTCATTCATTTCTCATATCTTTCAAAACCGAAAATTAAGAAATCTGGGCCTGGCTAAAAAAAATTAAAATCTAGGTCGGGCCAAATAAATCCGGGTCAGGTTATAAAATAGGACCTCTGCAGGTCTATGATATATGTTCAGTCCACTACTATGATTTCCTTACTATTCTTCAACCTGGTTACATATGATACACCAAAAACTGTACCATATCCTCAAGTAACTTAGTTAGAACTGTTAGAGCCTGACAGCTTTTCATATCATAAATAAATAATAGAAATAACAAGAGCCATAAACATAAGCATATTTAAGTCCTCAAACCATATTTAAGTTTGGATAAAACTAAATTTAAAGAACAGCGTTCTTAATGAAATAAGCAACAACCTATTTTATAAACAAATAATTATCGAGAGAATCAATTAATATAGTATATAAAAACTTAAAAACATTTATTTAAAAAAACCCAAAGGATTTTAAAAATTGAATTGAAAACAGGGGAAATAATAAGTTTAATCAAAAATCTGCTGGTTCCCCGTGTCAAAAATTGTTAAATATCAGGCTCAATCAATATCTGTCAGCAATAGAATTGATATGAGTAAAAAAAAATTATTTCTACAATTAAAAGAAGCAAGTCTCAATCATTTTAGGGACAATTGATAATTCCAAGAAAATGAAAAAATGGCATAGCACTAAAATTACATTATTTTAAGTATAACGAGATGAGCAAAATTCTCATTTTGAAGCATTCTTAATATCGGGTAACATTGATTAGATTTCAATATTTTTTAACAGCGACATAAGATTTCCTATTTCATATAGCAGTTATCGCACAGACTTGAAGAACGAATCTTCCGAATGTGATAACGGTAGAACATTATCATTTACTAATATTATTTAATTTTTATTCCAAAAATGAAAAGAAATGATTTACAGAAGAATATTTTTTGTATCTGCTGCAATTAGTGTTTATTAAAAATAATCAATCAAGTAGGCCGAATATATGGCATTTCATTTAGTATTTAGGTGAGTCGTGTAACCATGTTTAAGACAATTCGGGTATTCTGGAAGATTGTCACATAGCAATATACAATTTATTAAAGATTTCAAATGTATTTGCAAACGCCTTGCTTTCTGGAAACTTAAATATGTTTGAAGATACCATCTTACTCATGAAGAGTGACTAATAAGGAAAGTAAAAAAAGAGAAGAGAACTAAGGGAGATTTGATAAATAACAGTTGTGGAAGGAGGCCGAAAAAGATTTGTCCATTAGTGTAAATGATATCATATAAGAAATTAATTTTTTAATATGGAAATCTACATTTTAATACAAGGATTTTTAAATATTTTTTTTCCCAAATTAATCAGAGAAATTTGAAAATATGAATATTCCAAAACAAATTTGAATTAAAGAGGCAATCTAAAATCATGCAAAAAGCAATCAAACAATCATAAGACGAGTTATGGCATTGATCATTTGGAGAATTATAATATAGATGAATATGATTGAGCATTTCTACGTTTTATCTGAAAGATGTGTCATTTTAAGGATTTTGCATTCTCATAATCTTGCACTTGAATATAATTATGCTAGTTTCTCTATCTATTATATTTAAAAAAGGAGATGAGTGAATTCAAAACGATGTTAAGGCCAAAGTAGTAACCACTAAAATTTTATGATTTTTTAATCCTAGTTTCTAAAATTTTCATTTTTTTATGGGGTTTATTTTCTCTATAAATAATTTTTCTGATATTAGAGATATTTTTTTTGAAGTTTTTTCTTCCGATTATGCTATAATTATCCTATTAAAATATAATAAAATTCGAATTATCCGAAATCTACGAAAACCAAAATATAATAAATTTTATTTGATGCGGTATTTATAAAATCTAAATTTGTATTTCTAATAAAAGAAGATGAATAAAATTTATAAAATAATATATTATGTTAAGTAATATACATATTTCTTTATTTTTAGTTTCAAATATTTATAAATTAAAACAGAATTGACGATTTTTTCATTAGCATGTAACTTTTTCCCCGTCATAATAAAAATCGTGTTTGCATCCCCCGCAATAATTGGGAACACAATTCGCTAAAGGATATCTTGGGCACTTTCGCTGATGACAAGGAGACACAAAACATTTAACTACGATTACATCTGGCGGGCACATAGAAGATCTTCTGATTCGTGTTCCATATCTATGGTCAGCAGGTGGAGCTCCTATTTATGGAGTTAATAATTCGATGTATACTTTAAAAATTAAATTATTTACCTTTTATGGCTACCAACACTAGAACCAAAAGTAAGAAGGATTTAATTGGGTCGCACATTTGAGCCAAATTGTTTTTAAAGGAAATAAAATATTTTTGAAGTTTAAATTTTTTTCTATTTTTAAAATGTTAAAATTATGACATTATATATTTTAAAGCTCAAGGTTTTCATAATAATATTTACATTTTATTATTTAAAATTTTTCTTTTCGTTTACTCTCTTTGTTATAAAGAAAATTGGACTGGCATGAAGTGGTTTATTTAAAAAATTTTTTTTTTAGAATTAAAGGAGAATAATAGTCACTTAGTACAATACATATGCATTAGGTATATGTGAAAATAAAACAAAAAAATTCTTAAATATATATTTTTTAAAAAAAGACGAAAATAAATGACTATAAAAAATATTATTAGGCTACATGGAGCAGTAAATTGATAAGAAATTTTAAGACGATAAAAATAACTTAGTTACTAAAGCCGCTACATTTGAGTAACGGTAGCGCAAAACATTACTCGTTACCTTATTTTTTTTTCTTAAAAAATATTGAAAAAAAAAATGTTTTATTTTATTTTATATTATATTAAATTTTTATAAAATTTTATAAATAATTTAAGCCGAGTTTTTAATTTCAGATCAACATCAGAAATTCTTCATCAGCTCATATCTAAAAATAAACATTTGAAGATAGAAATATGAATTCTGATTAATTTAAAAAAAATTAGAGGATCTTCTGAATAGAGAATTTTGTGAAGATGATCTAATTAAATATTTTTTGTAACCGGAAAATGATTGCTTACAAGCACAAACTAACAACTAAGGTAATAATGTCGTTATAACTTTTTCCCACCAACAACCTTCTATCGTCAATCCTTAAATGCAATCACTCAAATATTAATTTTTTATATACCCAACCAAAGGGTACCCCCTTAACATTTTAAATTTTAATTTACCGAATATTTATTCTATCTAAGATAATATATAATATATATATAATCATATAACTTATGGCAAATTACCTAATATAATTCATTCAAGGTTGTTTTATTAATTTAAAAAATTTAATGATTGAATTGGCATAAAATTCAATTCTTATTTTTTTAAAAAAACGTATATATTTGAAATCCTTAATCTCCCTAAAAAAAATGCTATGGGTCATCCAGTTAAATCATTCCTATTGTTGATTCTAGTGTTCTTAGTCGATAAAGGTTCTTTAAAAAAAATATCTTCTTTGAATTTTATAATATATTAATTATTAGTGATCTGCAACGGGCCTAATTTTTCAAACCCGGCCTGAAATTTTCTTAAAAAAGTTACACCAGCCCGGCCCGAATTTATTTAAATATAGAAATTAATTTTTTTTAAAAATTGGAATTACTCAAAATAAAACACCCATGTCATATGGCGTCTAGTCTCATAAATATAATCAAATATGTTTTTTACAAAAGAATTCAACATAATGTTGGTATACTTAAATAAATTTCCAAGGTGCGACCTGACCCGACCTGAGTTTTTTTAAAAATGTTAGGCCCGACCCAGCCTGATCCCGACGGGGCTACTTTTGCAGATCTTTAATATTAATTCTATATAGAAATTCAATCTGTAGACCGAATAAATTCAACAGAAATAACATCTACCTGCTCACCAGGATGCCGGCGACATCCTTTTGCAAGATGTATTCCTAATTATTGTGGAGGGTGCAAGTACGATTTTTTTTTACAAGGGAGAAAAGTTAGATGTTAAGCGAACCATCGATAATTTTAATATTCTATAAATGTGTTTCAAATCAACAAAAAAATAATTATTTAATAGATAAAATATAAGAATAATATTTATCAGAGGTTCAACCAAATGTTCAAAAAAGTATCAACAGATATTTTTAAATTTTTAGTGAAATTTTTTTTTTAATACCAAGTCTTATTTTGAAAAATTAAATTATTATTTTTTTAAAAAAAAGAAAAGAAGCTATGTTTAATTTAGATTTCATATAATATTCATTAATTGCATAATAAAACGTTGCTATTATAAAATATTTTGATGAAGAGGGAATTATTAAATCAATATCGGCGAAATAAAGATCATAGTACATCTTATTGTTTGTTATTTATAAATCTACGCTAGATAATTTTTTTTCTACCAATTTTGTAACTTATATTTTCTTTACATTTGTCAATATTCAATTTTAAAAATCATCTCAATCTTTTATAATAAAAAAAAATTGAAAGAATTGTGTATGTAGCTTACTGAATAACATTTTTAAATATTTTAAAAAAAAAAATTGTATTCTTATTCATCGAGATTATCATTATTACAAGACGAACTTTGAATCGTTTTAGATTATTATAAAAAAAATGAAATGTTATATATTATATAAATTTATGGGATTGCATAAAAATAAAACGTTATATTGACGAATTAACACATCATTTTGAATGTATATTTTAAATTATAGTAAATGGAAAATAGGATATATAAAAAAAAGTAAATGTAAAGTTGACTATAATACCACGATTGTACAATAATTTTTGATTAATAATAAAGGAAATTAAGATCCTTTAGGAAGGCAATTTTTAAAATAAAATAATTTCACATAATTTTTTTGAATTTTAGAAGTGTCTAGCAAAAATGAAAGCTGGTAACTAGATTAGATATCCCGTGTAGATAATATTTATAGAGTATAATATTAATTAAAAATTCTTTATATTTGGGCCATAGCAATAAATTGATGAGAAAATACTTGCAGCGAACATAAGCTAGCTAATATATGCTGTCTTATCCTATTTTTTTTAAATGAGGGGGGGGGGGGGGGTGAGGGGGAGGGAGTAATGTCGAATAAATACAAATTCCTACCAAATAAAGAATTATCCCCCCCCCCCCATTAACAAATATTTGAAAAATGGATTTTTAGTCCATATTAAATAATTGACCTCCCTACATCTTTTCTCAAAAATTCTAGATTTTTTTTATAAAATTTATAAATTTTTACTTCCCCTTTTAATATTCGATCCTTTCGAAAAAAAAAGCACAATTTTTTTGGCGAAACATAGCAATTTATCTAAATCATTGACGCGCGCTATCTTTCGTAGGGTAACATTGGACAATTCATAATCGCCATTGTAGATAAACATTTTAAGCGTTCAGTCTCTTGTTTTTCCTTGAGTGATTTTCCATGGGCGAATTAAAGTAAGTTTTGAAGTAAATCCCCAACATCCTGCCCATCATATTGAGTTTGCACGAGATATTAGATGTTCAATTTTTCTTGGAGCTTATTAGCAACGAAACTAATAATATAAAGTTAGTCCGTTTTGAATGATAGGTAAATTAGTGCTATATTATACGTATTAAATGGGGTATTTTTATGGTAGATATTACTATAATTGATATTTGAATGATTTTAAAAAAATTATAAAATATTTTATACTCTTTATCTCTAGCCATATTAATTTTTTTAAGTTTGAACAAATGGTTTAAATTTATATATGAAAGATTTATTTGGTTTATCTCAATATAAGATCAAATTAAAATACTATAATAATTAAAATACAAAAACAGTTTATAAAAATATATAAAATTACTAAATAAAAATAATTATAAGCATTGAAGGCTCTAACAAGAGTTTAATTTAATAATCAATATATACCTTAAAAACAAGTATAATTATGTTTAAAAATTAATAGTTGAAGTTTTTGTTTAAGAAATATGGATTCGCGATTTTCGTTTGTTATATTAAAAAATTTTCGCAATAAAATTTTTTTTAAAAAATATGTAGACTGTTGAATATTTATTAATTTTTTTATTTTCCCCGCTAGTAGGTTTGAATTACTTGATGAAGGAAAGAAGGAGACGCAGGTTGCGTCCCAAATAAAGGATTTCCCGTTCGACTAGGGGGTACAGATTAAACCGTCGGGTCTGTTGACTGTGGGTGCAGTTTAGGCTGTGTCGGACGTTAGGTTGAACGGGTCAGTTGCATTGATGGCAAGTGTGTGGTTGTATAAGCGAGCATCCTATGTTAACTCTCAGTTGTAGAGCCGCTATATCACCACTTGCCCCTACCTTTGCTATTTCTTCCTTATCTTCCTCTACCTCTAACGTTCTTCCCTCTCTTCCCCTTTCTATTACCTAACGGCCGTTTTTAGGGTCAATACCCAACAACCCTTTTCAGGGCTACATACCTAGGAAACTGAAGGTATCCAAACTCTGGATAACAGACCTCCGACCCGGATACGTAGAACAGATAAGTTGCTAGACATGCTCAAAAGGGTTAACTAATACCTAAGGTAACTGAGGCTTCAGCTTTTTTTATCTAATGAAGATCAAGTATCTGGCGGATCAAGCAATAATCAACCGCCTTCGCCTCAGCCAGATGCCACCATCGCCTGTCGCCGACCTGAATCTTTATCCGATGTTGTGTCCCTGTTGTCAGATGATTTAGGAATTCTGGATGGAATATCAGCATCCTGAATTTCCTTAGACATCAACAGTCTGGGGAGGGGGGAGAAGCTACATCTTTTATTGACTTTCTGGAGGGTTCTCTCACCGGAATAAAGAGTCCAAGCTTGCGGTGGGTCCTCTGATCTCCCCCTTCATTAAGCAGTCCGAAAACGGGAGTCAAACCTAGGCTCGACCATCTCCGTACCCGAAACAATGAAGGAAGGTACTTCCGCCATGCGCACCGATGGGAACCCGACGCATGTTACATACCAATATTCCAGCAACTCTAAGGCGACTGGAGTAATTGAAATTGAAGGAGATGACCAGATTTGCTAACTTTACGTTATCCCTAAGTATAGCTCCCCTAGATTAATTAGCGACTTTTCATAAGTTTTCAAGAACTTTCTTCACTACCCGTTCAGGCTCTAGTCGATCCCACTGCTGTCCATCAAGCTTGACAACCCGAAATTCGTTGGCAAGATTGATTCCACCTTCTTCTCAATCCCACTGGTCACTTATAAACGTTTCTTTGGAGTCCGTATCCAAGGACAATCCTTCAGATATATAGTCATCTCCATGGGAGCATCTTTTAGTCTTTACTACCTCCAGAGCATCATTCTGGGGGCTGTTGAAAAAAAGAAGAAATAAATTTAATTTAATTTAATACATCAAATGTCAGTTATTTTCTGACAGGGGAATTAAGTTTTCCTGGTGGATAGGGGGAAAACGTGATCATCACATGTTTGGTTTTTAAGGATTCCTTTGTTAGCTATTTTGGAGTGAAGATATTGGATTAATTGGAGAAGAT